TATATATATATAACTGGTATTTGGGTTAATCTGGGGTTTGGGCAAAGACTGTCTGGGGTAAAAATAGCTTTTAATGTAGAGACCAATGTCTTGGGTAAGGGCTGGTGTTTGGTTAGAGACAGATGTTTAGGCAAAGTCCAGTGTCTGAACAAAGACACTACAAATTCTACATATTCTGATCCGTATACAGATTGGTGTTTGATGCCTGGCTAAAGATGAGCGCCTGGTTAAATTCTTGTTTTTTGTACTCGGGTTTTCTGCATCTTTAGATCTAATTTACGTGATCTGGCTGTTCTTTGTGGTGGCGGCGTGGAACTGGAACATGTGGCTGATCCCTGTCCGCTGGGCATTCCCCTACCAAACTACTGAGAACCTCCACCTGTGGCTGCTGGCAGACTACACCTGTGACTTCATCTACATTGCCGACTTACTGATCTTCCAGCCCAGACTGCAGTTTGTCCGTGGAGGAGATATAGTGGTTAGTGGATACAAAGAAACAGACGTCTTCTTGGTTTTATCAGCTCAGGAACAGAACTGTCAACCTGTTTGAACGTTTTTTTTTATTATTATTTACAGTGCGATAAAAAGGACATGAGGGAACATTACATGACCACTGAGAGGTTTAAGGTGAGAACTAATCAATCCACAGGAAACCTCTATTTTACATAAATATGTATGTTTATTATGTTTTTAAATAAGCTTCATATCTTATAAGAAACCAATATTAAGTGTTTGTGGACCGTTTGATTCAGCTTTTTCAAGTATATGGAGACACTGAACACAGTTATAACAAAGTAGACTTTTGGATGGCTATGGTGGTATGGCCTCGTTTACAGCCATACCACCCTGAACTCGTCCGATCTCATATGATCTCAGAAACTAAGCAGGGTCAGGCCTGGTTAGTACTCGAATGGGAGACTCCTAGGAAAACCAGATGTGGGCTCTGGGGTCGAGATGATGTAGAGGTAGAACAGCTGACTTGGGACCAAAAAGTTGCAAGTTAACTCCCCACCATTCCCACACGTCGTGGTGTCCTTGAGCAAGACACCACGACCTAACTGCTTGCCGGGTGCTGACATAGCCGCCCACTGCTCCACCTGGAGGTATTTCACGTGTGATGGGTTCAATGCAGAGAACTAATTTCTAAGTAACTAATTTCATCATTGTAAAACATACGACGATACATAGCTCGTTCATTCGTTCATTAATTTGTTTGCTTGTTTGTTCATTCTAAGCCTCCAGGGAAGCATAAAACCCTGCTGTAGTTGCAATCTGTAGCTGGCATCTTCAGCACATCTTCAATTTAAGTTAATTTGTGTAATTCTGCAGTGCTGGAGCTAATTGACACATCACAGGAGCTCTCCCCTGACAGAAAAAATTCAATTCAGTTTATTTATAAAGTGCACTTTTATTTATTAACCTTTATTTAACTAAGCAAATCCCACTGAGATCACACATCTCTTTTGCAAGAGAGGCCTGAAAGCAGACTAACATGCATGTTCTTTGTCTGTGGGACGAAACCAGAGTATCCAGAGAAAACCCACACAAGCACGAGAAGAACAAACTCCACACAGAAAGACCCCAGTCTGCAGAGTAGCGAGGTCAACATGGGCCAGAGTTGACAGGCAGCTGGGGCTTGATGTTCTAGATTTGTTTAAAGCTGATTAAAGTTGTTTAATCTGAAGAATTATTCTTATTCTGCTGTGAGTTTGACTGTGCAGATAAATTTGTTTCTTTTTGTTGTTGCCGTTTCCAGCTGATGAAAGTTTCTGTTTTCTTCAGATGGACGTCCTCAGTCTGTTTCCCATGGAAGTATTTTACCTCTTCACAGGAGTGAACCCTCTGTTGAGGTTCCCTCGTCTGCTGAAGGTCAGCTGATGTTTCTCAGCCTCATTCAGCTCCACTTCTCAGAATAAACAGCTGATCATTGCTTCTTTTTTCAGTACATGGCTTTCTTCGAGTTTAACGACAGAATGGAGGCTGTCATGAAGAAGGCGTACATCTACAGGTGAAGAACAACACACAGAAATAAAACAGAGTTCTGGTTTCCCTGTTTCAGTAGAAAGTCAAGTTTATTCGCTTGTCATTTCAGACAAATGCCCCTGACCTTTGGTTTCTGTTTGTTAGTGGTCCAAGCCCACAGAACAATCGTAACTGATTTATGCTTAAACTTTTGTTAAAATGCATATTTTCCACAAGATTTTTTGCTAACAAGACAGACAGAACACAAACATGGGCAAAAACAACATGCAGTACGATCATGAGTTGTGCTTAGTTTGAACTCAATGCAGGTAGGACTCTGAGAACTCAAGAGATAAATAATATTTATTTAAATAAACAAAAGGCCACCAAAACTCACCCACTGAGCGTAATAAGGAGACACGCAGGAAAACAGACATGACGTCTTCCATGGACAGGGGAACATCTTCTTCTTCTTCTTCTGTGAGGTTTTACGGCAGCTTACATCCCGCAAGGTGTATTACCGTCATCTAAAGGTACTACTTAGAACTAGTAGTTATAAGTGCTCCGATAAACTTAGATTCTCTTGTATAAACCTGTTGTCCTCAGGAAATACATAAAGTATTTGCATCCATATTTACTGGATCCCCATTCTAATATGCTTTTCAAACATATAGGACTTGTTACGTCATTTGTCATTTGGTCCAGTAGACGTTTCCTTTCGGTTGAATATTTTAAACAGTCCAAAATAACATGTTTAACAGTTTCTGTACTTTGGCAAAAGTCACAATGTCCACTATTATGTTTCCCTATAATAAACAAAGTACTGTTCAGATTTGTATGACCTATTCTTAATCTTGCTAATATAGATCCCTCCCTCCTATTTCCTCCACAATACCTTGAACTGTAGACTGTATTCTGTACAGGTCCTTCTCAAAAAATTAGCACATTGTGATAAAGGTCATTATTTTCCATAATGTAATGATAAAAATTAAACTTTCATATATTTCAGATTCATTGCACACCAACTGAAATATTTCAGGTCTTTAATTGTTTTAATACTGATGATTATGGCATACAGCTCATGAAAACCCAAAATGCCTGTCCCAAAAAATTAGCATATTTCATCCCACCAATGAAAGACAAGTGTTTTTAATACAAAAAACGCCAACCTTCAAATAATCATGTTCAGTTATGCACTCAATACTTGGTCGGGAATCCTTTTGCATGAATGACTGCTTCAGTGCGGTGTGGCATGAAGGCAATCAGTCTGTGGCACTGCTGAGGTGTTATGGAGGCCCAGGATGCTTTGATAGCAGCCTTAAGCTCATCCAGAGTGTTGGGTCTTGCGTCTCTCAACTTTCTCTTCACAATATCCCACAGGTTCTCTATGGGGTTCAGGTCAGGAGAGTTGGCAGGCCAATTGAGCACAGTAATACCATGGTCAGTAAACCATTTACCAGTGGTTTTGGCACTGTGAGCAGGTGCCAGGTCGTGCTGAAAAATGAAATCTTCATCTCCATAAAGCTTTTCAGCAGATGGAAGCATGAAGTGCTCCAAAATCTCCTGATAGCTAGCTGCATTGACCCTGCGCTTGATTAAACACAGTGGACCAACACCAGCAGATGACATGGCACCCCAGTGACTGTGGAAACTTGAGAATGGACCTCAAGCAATGTGAATTCTGTGTCTCCTCTCTTCCTCAAGACTCTGGGACCTTGATTTCCAAAGGAAATGCAAAATTTACTGTAATCAGAGAACATAACTTTGGACCACTCAGCAGCAGTCCCAGGTGAAATGCTTCTGACACAGTCTCTTGTTCAAGGGTGGCTTGACCTGGGGAATGCGGCACCTGTAGCCCATTTCCTGCACACGCCTGTGCACGGTGGCTCTGGATGTTTCTACTCCAGACTCAGTCCACTGCTTCCGCAGGTCCCCCAAGGTCTGGAATCGGCCCTTCTCCACAATCCTCCTCTGGGTCCGGTCACCTCTTCTCGTTGTGCAGCGTTTTCTGCCACACTTTTCCCTTCCCACAGACTTCCCACTGAGGTGCCTTGATACAGCACTCTGGGAACAGCCTATTAGTTCAGCAATTTCTTTCTGTGTCTTACCCTCTTGCTTGAGGGTGTCAATGATGGCCTTCTGGACAGCAGTCAGGTCGGCAGTCTTACCCATGATTGTTGTTTTGAGTAATGAACAAGGCTGGGAGTTTTTAAAAGCCTCAGGAATCTTTTGCAGGTGTTAAGAGTTACGTCGTTGATTCAGATGGTTAGGTTAATAGCTTGTTTAGAGAACCTTTTCATGATATGCTAATTTTTTGGGACAGGCATTTTGGGTTTTCATGAGCTGTATGCCATAATCATCAGTATTAAAACAATTAAAGACCTGAAATATTTCAGTTGGTGTGCAATGAATCTGAAATATATGAAAGTTTCATTTTTATCATTACATTATGGAAAATAATGACCTTTATCACAATATGCTAATTTTTTGAGAAGGACCTGTAGAAGATAATTTAATCCATTCTAAAGCCAGATAAATGGCATACAGTTCAACTGAAAACACATTTAAAAAATCTGATGTGCGCTTACCAATTCCAATTTTATATTTTGGGACAACAACAGCACAACTAGTTCGACCTGATTCAGGATCTTTAGATCCATCTGTAAAAACCTGTACGTACTAAGGATAATTCCCATCCACAAAACAGTTGAATAAACTGCACAGTTCTGCTTTCTTGTTTCCTTTCCTAATTTGCAGCAATTCTGTGTCCACTTGAGGTTCTTTCATTAGCCAAAAAGGAACAGTTGACCAGATGACATTTGGACTAAACACAACTTCAGAAACACCCAATGATCTTGCATATTCTGCTCCTACCCATCCAAAGCTTAATGTTGTTTTCTATGCCTTTCCCATGACTCCTTTAGTACAGATTTAGTTGGATGACTATCATGGGGTCCTTTAAGATGAATCCAATAATTAACCAGTAACTGTTTCCTTCGCAGACACAAAGGCATCTCCCCTGATTCAACTAAAATTGCACACACTGGTGAAGTTTTGACAGCTCCAATACATAATCTAAGTGCTTTAGCCTGGATGACCTCTAGACGCTTTAGAGACGATTCAGCTGCGGATCCGTAAACTATACATCCATAGTCTAGTCTGGACTTTATCAAGGATGTATAAATGTGTTTCAATGATAAGAAATCTGCTCCCCAAGTTACTCCCACCAGACACCTCATAACATTTAAAACCTTCTTACACTTATCAATAATCCAATCAATATGATGATTCCAAGTCAAATGAGAGTCAAAATAAACACCTAAGAAACGAAAAACATCAACTATCTCTAAAGTTCTTCGATACAATTTCAAGTTAAATTCACCTCTATTCCTTTTCCTAGTAAATGCGGTCATTTATTTACAGAATCAAAGTTTAACATCACACATTTACATTAATTTGGCAAATTGAAAAATAACAACATGGCTAATTTAGCAAGCTGTACAATTAGAAACCATACGGCGATGGTTTTCTCACTTCACAACAGACATTTCTGAAAATATCTGGAATGATTTCTAGCAGATAGAAGAGTTTTAAAGATGGAAAATGAAGTTTATCTTGAGAGAGATGGGTGAGGGAATTTGTCTGTTATAACCAGAACAACACGCTCCTTCTAGACCAGCTTAACCCACGGTACACTTTGGTTGAGATCGACTCTTTACCTTTGCAGATGATAGTTTCAGCGTTGGTGTAGAGCTTTCCTTTCAACTCTTCCAGCGTCTCCGTAAGAACAGCTAAACCTCAGGAGTCGTGAGATCATCCTAGAACAGACTTCTTCATAATTCCTCTGAACTTCTCTTGTTCAGCTTAGTCGCAGATGTCCTGAGCATTCTGGACTCTGCTGCTCTCGGAACCAACTCACAGCATTCTCTCAGCGTTCTCCTCAGCGTTCTTGCCAGAACTGCCGAGAACTTCTCAGAACTTCCCAGAACTTCTCAGTTCTTCAGCACTTCTCAGTTCTTCTTCTGAACTAGGAAGTGTTGCACCTTTTAAAAGAGGTCACTTCCGGTTCATTTGAGACCTTTCTGATTGGTCGGTGGACCAACAGAGGTGTGTTTTTGTGATGTAAGAGGTTATTAAAAGTCAAGGAAAAAAGATTTGATTGTTTAAGAACAGACAGAAGATTGCTATGAAGATTCCAGACTTCGTGGAGTCAATTCTCTAGTATCTGCCTGAAAAAGTTAAACATGACATTTATTTTTCAGTAAACTTGCAGTTGACCGAAACTTGACCTTTGACCAACTTACACAACTTGCTCATTTCAGACAGACGATCAAGAAATTGAATCATTACTCTGTAACATATTCTAACTTGATTTCCACTTTGAATGAGGATTAAAAATCATTATTACTGTTTCACAGTTGATTTTGTAGTGAACCAGATGACCTGATGATCTGACCCTCATCTGACCCTGATGACCTCAAATCTACCAGATGGACAGAGACTGTTATTTTCATTGATCTGAATAAGTCTGAGCCATCTGATGACTTTCTTTCTTGAATTAATCAAGCAGAAAAGACAATCCTCTATAATCATTACTGTTTTACAAATGTTTTGATAATCAAATTGTGTTAGTTTCACTCAATGCTTACAGGTTGAAAAGAACTACTCATTTTTATTTTACATAAACAGTAAGTAATGATTTTTGTTCCTCATTCAAAGAAGAAATCACCTGAATATGCATTTCTTGATTTTCTGTCTGAAATGAGCCAAGCTCGTAAGTATGTGAAAGGTTGGTTTTCGGTCAACTAAAATGTTTACCGAGAAAGATGTCATGTTTAAACTTTTTCAGAAGATTACCAAGAGTTGACTCCACGAAGTCTGCTCTCCTGCAATAATCTCTCTGTCAGTTGTTAAAACAATCTCATTCTCTGACCTTGGCTTAGATAACATCTTACGTCACAAAACCACTCCTCTTTCTGGTCCATCCACGAATCAGAAAGCTCTGAAGTAAACTCGGAAGTAAACTCATTTAAAATGTGACAACTT